AAATTCTGATATTATAAAAACTAAATATAGTTAATTGAGTGATTAGCAAAAGAGAACTTATTTCAGAAAGACGTGAATAATAAGATAAAGAGGAAATGTAATGACATTGCCAACAGTACTACCATTAGCAAACTATAATGTAAAGTTAACTTATTTTATAGAGGCCAACTACTACTATAAGCATTGAGACTTCCATATATACTTTATAATTTATTAAAAAAAGTTATGTAATCTTATATAATAAAATTGATTTAATATTGAATAGTGATATCGTTGTAATAATATCGTTATTAGGGAAAAAAATTTCATGAACCCGTATATCCTTTACAATATATAAGTTGTGCATTCCAAATTCTTGTGTCTTTTACAGAGCCAAAAAAGTTTGAATGCGAGTCTCTAACATTTTGCTCACACAACAACAAAATCCACTTAGCAGATGCGGATAGTCTAGATGAATTATATGCCATATATACAATACAATTGGCCTAGGCAAGTAGTTATAATAGTATTTTTTATACACATCGTTTGGGGAAAGATTTGATAAGGACCTAGCGTCAAAGAAAAATAAAATTTTACATTTAAAGCACATGACGCAATTTATCATAATCTCCCTGCTCTAATTTCACATGAAAATAATTATTTATACTTTCAATTTTACTTCTATGGTATGAAGAATGATCAATAAAATTGAATGAGAATATTAAATTATGTAAATATGAGTACAACTATTACTACAAGTTAATGTAAATATGAGTCAAACCACAACTAAAAGTTTAATGCACATATTACAAGTAAATTCATATGCAAATTTTTTTTACGAATTGAATGATCACCCATCTTTTGAAGACTTCAAGATACTAATAAACAGAGATGTTACCCTAGATTAATGTATTTATAACTCATAAATAGTAGGTCACGTAACAACAGTCTGGGTTAAATGAAACAATAATAATTTTTTATTTGAGAGGGAGATTATTGAGTTGACAATCAATCCCACAAAAACTTTATTTATTTTTTATTCTATTTTTATCAATTTAAGCAATTATGATATTTAACCACGTGCATTACTTGTGGATCTCAACTAGTTGCTTAAAGTGGATGAGTACATTTACTTTTTCTTGGACGAAATTTTTAAAGGAAAAAGACCGAATAACACTTAAATACCTCATAGTTTAACATACTTATCACTTATATATCCTCACTTATCTTTCCTAGCATCTTTAGTTGTTTAATGGTAAGTTAGTACCCTTAATAATGCAAACATGAATATTTTTATCTGAATGTTCATCTATGATACTTTCAGGCTAATTTTGCAATGTCAGTACCCTTTATAATGTAATCGTGAATATTTTCATCCAAATGTCCCTCTATGATACTTTTAGGCTAATTATAGAGATTTTCAAGCACTAACATTTGTGAAATTTACTATTAAACCTACCAAAAATCAATTTCAAACTGATTTTAATTCTAGTTTAAATTAGATGTGATCGGTTTAACGATAAATTTTACAAATAATAATAGCTAAAATTATCTACAATTAGCGTATAAGTATCATAGAAGCACATTCGGGTGAAAAATTCATTTTTACATGATAAAAAATATAAATATGCTAATTTTAAATAACTTAGAGTATACAAGTACAACGAAAATCAAATAAAGTGTATAAGTGCTAAATGAGGAAACTATGAGTGTTTAAGTGCTATTCAACAAAAAAAAAGCGAGGTGTCGACGATCCTACAGAAAGATAGATTAAGGGGCTGTTTGGTTGTATGTTTTTACCATGTAAAACGATGGAAAGTGTAAAAAAATGGATCCTAATGTCAGCTTTCATCACTTTACATTGTTTGTTTAAGTTCTCTTTTACATGAAAGACTTACACCTTTTGATAGGGCTGTCCAAAATACCCGCCGGCCCGGGCCACGGCCCGGCCCGGCCCGGAACAGGGCCGGAGCCGGGTCCACCTCCGGGCCGGGCAGCCCGGGCCCGGAACCCGACCCGGTGGCTTCCGGATCTGATTATGAAGAGCAAAACATATCTCCCGATCCTGAATTGAGTCCTCCTACTATGAGTCCTCCTACTATCAGTCCTCCTACCGAAGTTAATCCCGAATCCGGTGGCGACGAATCTGCACCAAGAGCTCCTAAACGGCCAAGATCCGATGTGTGGAATTTTTACGAGAAGATCGACGTCACCAAGGATGAACACGGTAGGATCCTCACCCAGAAGGCTAAGTGTGCTTTGTGCGGCAAGATTTTTCAAGCTCATCATAAGAGCGGCACCAACCACCTCAAACGCCATTTAGATAAACACAACAAAGGCCAGCCTCCTCAAGGTGATATCCGACAATCCATGATTTCTCAATCCTCCTCTTCTGGTAGTCTCGGTAGTTGGAACTATGACGCTGCCAGAGCCAGGAAATGCGTAATCAGGTTTATCATTCTTAAAAACCTTCCTTTTAAATTAGTAGAAGATGATGAATTTGAAGATATGTTTAGAGATGGTTTTTATCCTGCATTTAAAAAATTTTCTCGTCAAACCTGTCAACGTGATATTTTAAAATATTATCAGCAAGAACAAGAAAAAATAATTTCTTATTTTAAAAATTTAAACTGTAAATTTTCTTTAACTTCTGATATTTGGACATCTAGAGCACAAACTGGATATTTATGTATCACAGCACACTGGATTGATGAAAATTGGCAAATGTTTAAAAGAGTTGTTTCTTTTATTGCAATAGAAGAGTCACATACTGGTGCTAATGTTGCAAATTTAATAATTGAAGAACTTATGAAATTAGAAATTTCACAAAGAATATTTTCTCTTTCACTAGATAATGCAAGTAATAACAATGTAGCTGTTGATTTTATCAGATCATCTTTATCATTGCCATGTCATGGTGATCTTTTTCATATTAGGTGCATCTGTCATATTTTAAATTTAATTGTTCAAAGTGCATTTACTGAAATTAAACCCATGATAGAAAAGGTTAGAACAGTTGCTTACATGCATAGTGCTTCTGAACAAAGACTTAAAAGATGGAAACAATTTTGTAAAAGAAAAAATGTAAAGCCTAGACTAATTCCAAAAGATGTTGACCATAGGTGGAATTCCACATATGCAATGTTAAGTGTAGCAATAGAATATAAAGACATTATAACTGATTTTATAAACTATTATGCTTCTAGTTCTAGTTCTGGTAGCACTTATGGAATAACTGAAGATGAATGGACAGTTATATGTAATTTAAATGAAATGTTACAAGTTTTTTATGATGCTACAATGTTATTATCTGGCTGTTATTATCCAACCATTACTTTAGCTGCTTTACAAATTTTAAATATTCAAATTTTTTTTGATAAATATCGTATGGATGCTACTTTTGGACCTATGTTTTTTGAAATGGAGAGTAAATTTAATAAGTACTTTAGGCCTATTCCTCATATTTTTGATTTGGGGGTTCTTATTGATCCATGCTTGAAGGATATTGGCCTTCGAAGTTTGTTACAGTCATTGTATGGTGGACAGGTTATAGACTTAGATGATGGAACCACCCTGAATGCTACTACTCATCATTTACTTATTAGAAATTATTTTCAAACTTTATATGATGAGTATGCAGCTAGACATGGTGTAGCTGCACAACAGTCTGCAGCTTCGGTTTCTTCGAGCTCATCCCGAGCCCGAGGTAAAAGTGTAAGTTTTGATAGGTATGCAATGGTAGCCGAGCTAACTGGTGGATCTGGACTTGGATCGTCATCATCGGAGGTTTCTGAAATAGATGAATATTTTTCTGCTTCTTTAGTTAGATGTCAAGGAAATGCTTTAGATATTTTGCAATGGTGGAAAGTATATGGATCAGTTTCATATCCTATACTTTCCACCATGGTTCGTGACTTACTAACAGTGCATGTTTCGACGGTAGCTTCGGAATCCGCCTTCAGCACAGCAGGTCGTTTGATCGACGATCACAGGACATGCTTGGATCCGTATACTGTACAAGCGGTGATGTGCTTACAAGATTGGTGGAGGTACAAGAAGCGAACGCAAGGCATCGATTGGATGGCTGTAATTGAAGATAAATTTGAAGAATTGGGACTAGCAGATAGATATAAAGAATAGATTGTAGTTTTTATATCTTAGCTTAAAATTTGTAAAGAATTATTTTGGAAATAATTGCAAATGATAGTGATATAGGTGAGTAGGTGCCAACCTAGTTGGGATTTACTTATCTATTGTGATGTGATTAATTCCAAAATAAATTTGTACTTGTAATTTGTAAATGATTTATTAGTTATTAATAAAGAATTTGCTATTATTATTTTTTATTTGTAATTTATGTCATTTTAAGTAATTAATAAAATTATTGTTTTTATTATTTTTCTTATCTTTTTTTTATAATTTAAAATTTAAATAAAATTGAAAATTTTTGGGAAAAAAAAATCAACCGGGCCAGCCCCGAACACGGCCCGATCAGGCCCGGGCCCGGACCCGGGTACCCGGGTCCGGGTCCCAGTTTTGCCCGGCCCGAGCCCGGATTTCCGGGCCGGCCCGGATGGACAGGCCTACCTTTTGATGAGGTGTCACCGAAAGTAAAATCACCAAAATTAGGAGTGATTTTGTTGGAAAGCTGACACGATATCATAAATGTGTCCAAAAAATAATAAAAAAGTCAAAACCTTGTAGAAAAGGGTGAGGTGGATAATCACTTTCCATTTTGTATCATAAATACTCTAGTTTATGTTATACTATCCGAACAATGTAATACTATTATTTTACGATTCACAAAGATTCCTAACCAAACAATGTAAACCCTCGAATGGAAAGTGACGATGTGGATAACCCTTTCTATTTTGTGTCATAAATACTCTAAAGTTTCCTAAAGCATCCCAACAGCCCCTAATTCAAAGAGAGCCACGTGGCGTGCGTTCATTGGTTACGATGACGTTTTATGCGTTTGGACCCATAACATTGTTTAATTGTTATTTGACGTCTGCATTTAACTTGGTGACTACATTCATGACCTTCATTCTGTCGGAGCTCAAATTTTCTTCCCCCTTCTCTGTCTCTCATTCGATCACCGCAGAGAAAATCAACAGGTAATTAACGCTTTTCCAGAAATTATTGGATTTATCGTCTTATTTCTTATAAAAATGAGATCTTTTTTAGGGTTTGGTTGTATATCTAAGTAAATCTTGCCACGCTGTTGATCACGATTGAGAATTTCCTGATTTCGTGTAAATTTGATGAAACAGTTGCTTTAAACCAATAATTTTCGCTGTAAATTTAGCATTTGTTTGAAGCTTTCGCCATAAGATGTAGATTGATGGTAAAGTTCTGATCTCGCCCCTTCCTGTATGGGACTATTTCATGATTTTCTAGAATATCGTGAAGTTAAAATAATGTTAGCAACCTAATGTTATTTATCTGATAAAAATTTGAAGGTTTTAGGATAGTTCACCGAGTTGCTAATTTCTGTTTTCGATTAGGAGTCCTTAAATTTCTCGAATTTAGATGTTAAGGAAATGGCATTTTTTTTATTTTCTGTTTGTGGTTTTTATTGGTGAACTGCAACGATAGTTCATTGCAACTTTTAACTTTCATTTCAAATTCATAATTTTGTTTTTTTAAGGTAGTAAGTACAATTTTCTATAGATCAAAAGTCTTAATCAATGTTTATACATTTTTCTAAAGATCAAAAGTCTTAATCAAAAATTTAAAGATATTTAAAATAGTTTGAAATTGTTATGTGATGTAAAATTGGAGGGTACAAGGTCGGAGAGTGGAGGAAATACGTGAACTTGGAAGTTTAAAAGAAAATTTGTGATTTTTCAGATTTTATAGAACTACAACTAAGCATCAGTATATTTTCATTCAAAAGGGCCAACTTCCCTTTACGGCAAGTGCTGCAAAGTTATATTAAAAATGAAAAATTCTGTTGTCAATCCTCGTCGAATCATCTAATTTGATGACACCTGCTTATGATTTTTAAGCAAGAACTTGATTAACTGATTTATTGAGATTGTTAAAATTTTCTGTTTATCCCTTTTCCTGAAGGCTCCTATGAGCTGACGTAGCTTTTCCTATAGCCACTGGGTTCTAATTTGCACATGTTCTAGGTATTAGTGTGCCATAAAGCATGAAAAGTAAATTCATTAGTATTTCTGAGAGGTACATCTATTTTTCGACAGTGACTAATGTTTGTTAACTATTTATGTTGGTAACTGTTTAACATGTAACTCTTTACTTACTGCTATTCCCTAGTATTTCTCTGTACTTTCTTTGAGTCACGGTCTTCTACTTCATCAAATGGGGTTTATTCTGCTGCTACATCCTTATCTTTTATGTTTGCAATGTCTACAGATGGAGAAGTTTTCCTTGAAGTTTTTATTTCTTACCGTACTAGGCTTTCTATCTTGCTTGCAATCAACCATTGGTATAAGATTTGTGATAGACAGGGAGGAGTGCTTCTCCCATTCAGTTCCATATGAAGGGGACAAAGTTCATGTTTCATTTGTAGTGATCAAAGCTGACACACCGTGGCATTACAGTGATGATGGTGTTGATCTTGTGGTATGTAATCGTTTTTTAATGTTTGCTTGTGTATCCATCGTTTCCATCTTGCCCTGATTAGAAGAACATTTAATCTCAGATTCTTCTTGTTCACTTTAATAGGAGGGTAAAATTAGCTTGTGAGTCTATATCATATAAGTCTATATCATATAACTGATATAAGTACAACCTTAAGCGTGTTAAATTCACATTACAGCTCCAATTGCAAAACAATCTTTCTTTGTTGTTTCTCATAATTAAAACATTTGAGAGTGCTCTGTATGGACGTACCTGATTATGCTGGAGCAAGTTAAATAACATGTCCTTTTAGTGGGAAGCGGCACCTAGTCAACAAGTGGTTTGCTATAGTCATGTTAGATGGAACCCCTTGTTGATTTGTTTAGTTGAAGGCAAACGGGGCGCCAAAAGCTGACTTAGAAAGCAAAAATATGCATCAAATATCACATTGATTTGTTGCATAGGTTTGGTCATTTCTATCCCATATTTGTCTGGAGTGGGCGGATGTGTGTGGATGAATATGTGCTTGTGGTGTATGTAGTTGTGGATATGCATGTGTTAACAAGCCCTATCCATGGTGGTGCTGACACGTGAATCCATAATTCTCACTAACATTTCATATCAGTGTATACTTAAGTTTTGCCCCTTTTTAGGCTAAAATATCAGAAAATCCCTCTTAACTTTGGATGATTATCAGATAATCCCCATAACATTCAAAATATCAGAAATACTTCTTAAGTTTAGGGGTCATCAGAAAACCCCTTTTAACTTTTAAGTTTTTTTCCTTAAGAAAAACCCCTAGAAGTGTGAACTACAATTTTCACTGGCAAAATTACCCCCCTTTGTAGTTTTACTCACCCATTTAAAAATTGTAGTTAAGACTGTTGGTGATTTTATGATAAAATCTTAAAGTTAAATAGGATTTTCTAATAACCCCTAAACTAATTTTTTAATTGATATTTTGAAAGTTATGGAGGGTTATCTGACAATCATCTAAAGTTAAAGGAGGTTTTCTAATATTTAGCCTTTTTTTTATCGGCAAAGATGTATTGAATATAGTTTGTTGCTTGTAGAAATGCTTAGAAGTACCTGATAGATATCACAGTACGTACCCAAAAAACACGGCTAAACCCAAACAGAATGCATAACATTTGAGTACTCTTAATACCTGTATTGTTAGCAATGAAAGCCCTTGAAGCTTAATAGGTTTAGGAATGAATGAAATAGGTATCTGATCCAAATCCAAGTTATTACCTCCCAAACTCTACCCAGTGGTGAAGTGTCTTGCTTGTACATTATCATGTATAACAAAGATTATTCCTGCTTTACGAGTACCATTATAAGCCAGCAGTAAATGAAGTTTCTTGCTTGTACATTATCATGCATAAGAAAGATTAATCACAAGTACCATTATAAGCCAGCAGTAAAACTTCTTGCATCTGTGCTAGGAGTCAAGCTTGTGCTTGGCTTGTTCTTTTATGCCATACAAGCTGGTAAGAAGGTCTGCTATCAAGCTGTGCACTTCTCCATACTTTGCCCCATCATATGATTATTCATATCATTCAAAAAATGGTTGAAGCAACTAACTAGCTAATGCTAAAGAGGAAATCATGGTGTCCATTCAATATATTTGAGTTAAGATCTACTACTATGATATGTTGTTTGGAATTTTCTGCTCCTTTTGGCGATCATCTCGATCTGACCATTGCTTTGTTTAACCAGGTGAAGGGTCCGACTGGTGATCAGATTTATGATGCTCGTGATAAGTTTAGTGATAAGTTTGAATTTGTAGTTCAGAGGAAAGGGGTCCACCGTTTCTGCTTCAACAACAAATCCCCTTACCATGAAACCATTGACTTTGATGTACACATTGGTCACTTTTCCTACTTTGATGAGCATGCCAAAGATGGTAAATGTAGTTTCTTTATATATATATATATATAATTCGTGAAAAGTTGGCAAACAAAAAACTTATTTCTATCTGGAATTCCTGCAGAGCATTTAAACCCTCTATTGGAACAAATTGGAAAGTTAGAAGAAGCCCTTTACAATATACAGTTTGAACAACACTGGCTGGAGGCTCAGACAGATCGCCAGGCACTTGGTATGTTTCTTAATTCTACGCCATTGTTAACTGTGGAAATGATCTTGTTACTGTTGAGTTATTATCACAGGTAAGCGTAGCCAGATGTGGAAAAGAACAATAGCCCAGTCCTTGTGAATGAAAAATTTGTTTAGGATAAAAATCCTTAGAATTAGGCCCATCCAGGCAAGCCCCAGATGCCTCCTAGCTTTGTGTAAGAAATGATTCCAGTCCCTTGTAACTTAAGTTATTTTCTTTGAACCTTTCAAATGAACTGTGAAAGCTATGCTTATATAACGAGGGCTGAACAAAGTTCCAACAGAGTGTAAGGGCGTAACAGTTAATTTGGGAAGGAAGCGGGTCATGTATTATTTGTAGTAATTTATAATTTATTGGCACCTGTGGAACTCTGGCCAGGTTAAAACCTGCTTTTGGCAGTTGCAGGTTGGGTTTGGCTATCAGCATAAGCGGTTAGAAAAATATAGAAGTTAGGGTTAATCATTAAAATTTTATAGTAACCGACGCCAAATAGAGCACAATGGTACATGTTTGATGTTTTACCTTAGCATTGTTAGTATGTTGGTAAATGTTGGAGAAGTGGATGAAGTATCAAATATCAATTATATTATTTAAGAGCCGACAATTTTAGGGTTAACTGCAAATAGACCCTAACTAGGGGTGATAAACTGTATCTGTATCCAAGGAAATATTCGTAACCGTATTCGTTAGGATATGAATATAGTTACTCAAATCTATAACTAATAGGACATGGTCACAAATATGGTTATGTAGTGAAATATCTAGATCCGTATCTGAAATATCCGAATACATATTTGTCATACCGTTATGATAGTTTTAATCCTTAGATTATGGTTTGAGGTTAATTTGATGATCAAGATGTCTAGTATTAGCTTTTCAGATATAATGAATATATTAATGAACTCTTTTGTATCACATGAGCTACATTTTTTTCAATACTATGTAGTTTTCTCATATCCATATTGTATCCACATGCATATTCGCTTATATATCCGCATGTATATCCGTATCCATATCCGATTTTAATGGATATGGATATGAATTTTCCTTACTGAGGTATATCGATCTCCGTATCCGAGATGGGTAAGCGGATATGGATATGGTAAGTATCATATCCGAGCCTTATCCGGATTGAATGCACCCCTAAGCTTAATTGTGAATAGGAATAGACCTCATGTAGTTCTATGACCCCTTGTAGTATTGGCCGTAGTCCGAACATACATCCTTAGTGAACTTTTTGACTCTTTAGAAGTGAAAAAAAAGCAATTGGGGGTCTATACCAATTGAACTATAGGGGTCTATCCATATCCTCAAAACCTTTTAAATGATTTTAAGAGTTAAAAAAAAGTTCACTCAGGGGGTCTATTCGCACATATATAACTGCAAGTGGTCTATTCAAAATTAGGTGATACTCGCAATTAACCTTTTTTCCGCTTGGAACTTTTGGTGTTTAATCTTAAACCATGTGAACTGAAATTTTGTGTTCCCTGAATATGTTCATTTTATGCTACACTTCAATATTAACCATAAAGCTTCTTCTTTGACAATACGTATGTAATTAAAGGTATTATACACATGCATCACATTGATTATGCTAGTGATATGCTAGGTTCAAAATTTCTCTCCTAATTAATATCTTCAGTCATTGTCACTTTTGAAATTGATATTTTCATAAGAATAAATTGCTTAATTAGTGTCAATATTAATGTCTACTACAAACATGTTCTAGCATAAATTTTAGTTCAATGAAACACTTATTGTGATCTGTTATTATATCAATAACTGCATTTTAGTTCTTTTTTACTTCCTCATCATATCTTCTAGCTCCTATATACGTACGTACGTACATACATACATACATATACACACATATATATGTATATGTATATATATTCTTAGCTAAATAGTGCTTACATACTCTAAATTTCATAGATTATATCCCATAAAAATCGTAAAATTTAGAAAAAAAGAATTATTGGGTCAAAATATTCAAAAATGCACAAAAATATGTGCGTTTCGATGGCAAATTTTAATTGTCATTGTATAACCCATGAAAATTGCAAATTAAAAAAATTTAATTGCTATTGGGTCGAAATGAGCAAAAATGGACAAAATTATTGGTTATAGTCCGTGAAAATGGTGAATTTTGAGGAAAAAACTCAATATTCTCTGGGTCGAAATGACAAAAAGAGCAAAAATCGAGGGAACAAAATTAAGTTGTCGTTAGGCTGAAATAGATAAAAAGGACAAAATTGTGAGTTGTACTCCATTAAAATCATTAATTTTGTGGGAACAAAATTAAGTTTCCATAGGGTTGAAACAACCGAAAATAGATGAAAATCGTTTGTTACAGTCCATGAAAATCATGAAAATTGCAACTTCTAAAAAAAGAAACTTAATTGCCATTAGAATCATAAACTTTAAAGAAAGAAAATTTAATTTCTATTGGCGTGAAAATGGACTAAAATCGTGGGTTGAACATGAAAACTGCGAATTTTTATGTATGACAATTAATTATCATTCGTCAAAACAGATGAAAATAAAAAAATTGTGGGTTATAATCAATTAAAATGGTGATTTTTCAGGATAGGGAACCTAATTTTGATTGTTTCAAAATGATAGAAAAGGGAAAAAAATGAGTTATAGCCTATGAAAATCATGAATTTTGCAAAAAGAAAAGTAAGTTGCTATAGGGCTGAAACAACTGAAAATGGAAAAACACTATACCCATGAAATCATGAAAATCGTAATTTTTTAAGAAAAAAACTTAAGCGCCATGAAAATCGTGAATTTCGTAGAAAGTAGACTTGATTGTTATTAGCATGAAACGATTGAAAATGAATTAAAATCATGGGTTATAGCACATGAAAATTACGAATTTTAAGTACAACAATTAATTGCCATTTGTGGTCGAAATAGATCAAAATGGACAAAATTATGGGTGTAGTTCAAAAAATAGTGAATTGTTAGGAAATTAAACTTAATTTTCATTAGGCCGAAATGATAAAAAATAGATAAAAATCGTGGGTTATAGCTTATGAAAATTATGAATTTTGAAGTACACTAGTTAATTGTCATTAGGTCAAAATAGATGAAACGGGCTAATTTGTGAGTTATATTCCATGAAAATCATGAATTTTTTGGAAAGAAAACTAAGTTGCCATTGGATTGGAACAACTGAAAATGAAGAAATGCGTGAAAATAATGAAAATTGCAACTTTTTAAGAAAGAAAATTACATGCGATGAAAATCTTGAATTTTGAAGAATGAAAACTTAATTACTATTGGCGTGAAATGATCGAAAATGGACTTAATTCGTGGTTTATAACATATGAAAATTGCGAATTTTTAAATACGATAACTAATTACCATTCAGTCGAAATTGATGAAAATGGACAAAATTGTGGCTTGTTAGTCAATGATAATGGTGATTTTTAGGATAGAGAACTTAATTTTCCTTGGGTAGAAGCAACAAAAAATAAACAAAAATCGTGGTTTATAGCTTATGTAGATTTTGAATTTCTCAAGAAGAAAACTAAGTTATGGGGTTGAAACAACCGAAAATGGACACAAACCATGTGCTGTAGCCCATGAAATTCATGTATATTGCAACTTTTTAAGAAAGAAACTTGATTGCCATGAAAATAGAGAATTTTGAAGAAAAAAACTTAATTGCTATGGGTGTGAAACGATTGAAAATGGACTACAATTGTGAGTCATAGCACATGAAAACTATGTACTTTTTAGCACCACAATTAATTGTCATTCAGTCGAAACAGATGACAAGGGACAAAGTTGTAAGTGATGTGGTCCATGAAAAAGGTGATATTTGTGGAAAAACTTTTCATTCGGCCAAAACAATCAAAAATGGGCAAAAATCATCGGGTATTGCTCATGAAAATTACTAACTTTTAAGTACACTAGGTAATTGCCGTTAGGCCGATAAAGATGAAAAAGGAGAAGTGTGGGTTATAGTCCATGAAAATGGTGAATTTTGCAAAAAGAAAACTAAATTACCAAAGAGTTCAAACAACTGAAATGGATAAAGTTATAAGCTATAAAAATCATGAAAATTGCAACTTTTTAAGAATAAACTTAATTGCCATGAGAATTGTGAATTTTGAAGAAAGAAAAATGAATTGCTCTTGGCGTGAATGATCGAAAATGAACTAAAATCGTGGGTATAACACATGAAAACTACGAATTTTTTATGTATGACAATTAATTGCCATTTGGTTGAAATAGATGAAAATGAAAAAATTGTGGGTTATAGGGTTGAAACAACTGAAAATGACAATTAAAATGGTGAAATTTGAGGATCGAGAACTTAATTTTGTTTGAAAATCATGAATTTTGCGGAGAGAAAACTAAGTTGCTATAAGGTTGAGACAACTAAAAATGGACAAATTTTGTGTATAATAGCCCATTAAAATCATGAAAATTGCAACTCATTGAGAAAGAAACTTAATTAGCATGAAAATCGTACAACAATTAATTGTCATTTGGTCGAAATAGATGAAATGGATAAAATTGTAGGTTATAGTCTATGAAAATGATGAATTTTGCGAGAAGTAAACTAAGTTACGATAGGGTTCAAACAACTGAAAATGGACAAAAAACGTGTGTTATAAGCTATAGAAATCATGAAAAATTTCAACTTTTTAAGAGACTTAATTGCCGTGAAAATCATGAGTTTTAAACAAAGAAAACTTAAATTTCTATTGGTGTGGAACAATTTAATGGACTAAAATCATAGATTATAGCACATGAAAACTGTGAATTTTTATGTATAACTATTAGTTGTCATTCTGTCAAAACAGATGAAAATAAAAAAATTGAGTGTCATAGTCAATTAAAATGGTGAATTTTTAGGATAGAGAACATAATTTTTATCGGGTCGAAATGATAAAAAAATGGTAGCCCATGAAAATCATGAATTTTGCATAAAGAAACCAAAGTTGCCATCGGTTTGAACAATTGAA